TGGCAGTTGGCTACAAAACAGACACTATGGAATGTTCTCCTTATTTTAGATGCATTTCATTCTCAGAAAGGAATATAAAAAATTACTTTAAAAGGCAAAAAATGGCAAAGCTGAGGTAGTTTAAGAAACAATATAAACAAAAAATAATAATGCTGCCAATCTAAAAATTTATATCACCTTGTTGCTTTAAAAAAAAAAAAAAAACAGACTAGGTACTTAAAGCATGGTTTGAATTCAATTTCCACATAATGTAAGCTCCTCTAGGAGATGAATATTCATTAACAGTTAGTATTTCTAAGGATGCCTAGCTTGCTCTGTATCTCCTTGTAGAACACTTCATTAAAAAGTTATTATGATTTATCACTATTTATTTTGCCCCAAATGTGAATTCTGATGTATCTAAAAAGGCTTCTGCTTAAACTGAGAATTCTGCCCATTTTTTTCCCCTTTACTGGCTCAAAGATTCTAAGAATAGGGCAGATTGCCCTTAATTACTAGAGGGTGTGTAAACAAATTCTCACAAATGTGGTTAATTTTCTTTCAATTTCTGAGACTATTGGAATTAATTCAAACACTAAAAGTTTATGTCCAGGCCGTTTGCTGAAATAATGCTATGTACATTTTTTAAATGCCTAATTGATTGAAGAGTATATTACAAAACTGTTTTTCACTTATTCTGCAGCTATGGATTCATGTTGTTTTGTTTAAAGAAAACAAAAGTTTTCTCAGAAATTAATTGACATAAGCCAGAACTTAGTGGCCAATTTAAGCACTATCTTTCATTTTCTGTAAGATTTACTTTGTGAATAAGTAGCTCCATTAGCCTCAAACCCTAGCAATTTAGGGTGTGAATACCATGTGAAATGTGACGTTTTCTTATCCTGCAATACCTACTTGAAATGAGTGCTAAATTTTGTTTTGCCTAGGAATTAAATGCTAATAACCTGTCTGTCTTGATGCAGATTCCAGACAAGATTCTAATATGACAAATCCAAAAGAGTTAACTCATCCTATTGTGATCTACATTCATGAAACTAAACTACAACAGGGATCATTTGTTTTATAATTTGCATCAAGTCCCTAAAATATGTATGAATTGAACAAGATGATTTTATATGTCTATTACTTAAGATTTGCAATTTTGCGCAGGAGAGTCTATTTCTTGTGTATATATTTATTAAAAAAAAAAAAAAAGGCCCAGGAGTTTTTTTAAATAAAACGTAAGAAAAAGAAAAATGAGCCCAAGGCTATCTAATTACCATTTTATCATTCCAAGTGAGATTATTTCCTACTGATCCTGAGTCAGGTTTCTTCTTTATATTAAATTGAACAAAATGAAATCCAATGATATAACTACAATTTTAGCACAAGTATATATATATATATATATATGTATATATATATTTAGTTAGCTTATTTTTAGTCAAACAATTTAGCAGAAGTAAATATATATATATATATATATATATATATATATATTTTTTTTTTCCCCAGAGCTTATTTTTAGTTAAACTCAACCCTGCAAGTCTTGGGAATCAGGAAACAAACGAGTCATTTGCAGATGCTTCTCACAAAAAGTTTAAAATATAATTGAGAAACCTGGAACCAATTCAGATTTTAAAAAGCTGAAGATGAGAAGATTAAATGTGTAGAGAGCTTTGGTAGCACAAATGAGAGCATTACTTCAAATGGAGACTATTATACGTGAATCATTGATTCACAGAATAAGCAGATCCCTGAGCAGGAAGTAGAAGGAAGGCTAAAGAATGATGACGCACAAATGTGGAAGAGGGAAACGCTGAGGAAAAACACAGTATGAACACAAACACGTCAGGTGGATTTGGGGAAAAGTTATATAACCTCATTAGCTTAAACATAAAGGAGATCAAATACAGTAGGAGACACATGTGGAAATGCTACCACTGGCAGAAAAACCTATCCTTCCTCCTCCTCCTTTATCTGACAAAACCTTCTCTTCCATTCTCTAGCTCCTTCAGTGAAGAGTCCTATTTGCCCCTCAACATCCAGCCACCTGAGGCAGCAACAAGAGCAGCTATTAGTTATCTATCACTGCATAACAATTTACTGCCAAAACATAGCAGTTTGAAACAATATATCTTTATTATCTCATAGTTTCTATAGGTCAAGAATCTTGGAGCATCATAGCTGGGTAGTACTGGCTAGGGTTCCCGCATAAGGCTGCAGTAAAGCTGTTTGTTGTCCAGGGCTGTAGTTGCCTCAAGGCTTGACTGGGGCAGCGAATTCACTTCCTTATTTACTCATATAGTTGTTGGCAGGTTTCAGTTCCTTACAAGCCATTGATGGAGACCACCATTTCTTGCCATGTGTGCTCTCCATACTCTGAGTGTCCACATGACATGACACCTGGCTGTTCTCAAAGCGAATGATCCAAGAGTGATCACAGTGAGCAAGAGAGCATGCAAGATGGAAGCAGTCTTTATAACCTAAACTTAGAAGTTACTTCCCATCACTGCAGCCATAGGCTATTGGTCAGTCAAACCAACCCTGATACGACAAAGGAGAGGACTACACAAGGGTGCGAATGTCAAGAAACAGAAATCATCTTGGGTCTTCTGGGAGGCTGCTTACCACTGCAGATTAAGCTGTGTGTCCATGCTGAGTGCCCAGAGTCTAAGCTGGCCAGGGAGTCATTGTTATCACAGACCCATTTTAGCACTAGGGAGCTTCCAAGCAGAGCAGTGCTGGGGTGTAGATCACCTGGATTTAGAGCACTTGGATTTGAATTCAAGCTTGCTATATTGTTGCTTGTTGATTCTGTTGCTTGCTATTCAGAATATTAATTGTTGTTTTAAGGTTTTGGTTCCCTTAGGAAAGCAGCAGATGATCCTCATTGTCTGCAGGCTTCTGAGGACCCTAGATAATTGTATTGCCTCTCAAGGATTTATATTAAAATCAAGTGTATGATATATATACTTTGAGTATATAGTAGATACTCAAAGAAAGACCCAAATAGTTCTTTGTTAGTGGCGGTGGGGTTTTTTTGTTTGTTTGTTTGTCTTTTGAGACAGAGTCTTGCTCTGTCATCCAGTCTGGAGTGCAGTGATAAGATCTTTGTTCACTGCAACCTCTGCCTCCCAGGTTCAAGCGATTCTCCTGCTTCAGTCTTCTGAGTAGCTGGGATTACAGGTACCAGCCACCACTCCCAGCTATTTTTTGTATGTTTAGTAGAGATGGGGTTTCACCCTGTTGGCCAGGCTGGTTTTGAACTCCTGACCTGAACACAAATATCAAAACCAGTGTCCTTTACAAGGAGGTAAGAGAGAATATTAAGACTTTACTATTGAGTTGGTATTGCTCAACCTATTTTGAGAAATAATTATATTTCTCTAAAATATATTAAATAGAAATAAATCATATAATGCATGTTGAAACCTGTTTGAGTTTCCTATTGCTGCTTAACAAATTATCAGAAAGTTGCTGGCTTAAAGCATCAACTCTCTTATAGTTCCCGAAGTTAAAAGTCTGAAATATGTGTTAAGAGCTAAAATCAAAGGGTTGGTAGTACTGCATTCCTTATGGAGGCGCTACAAAAAATTTTTTTTTCCACTTTTAGAAGCCAGCTTCATTCCATGGCTTGTGGCCCCTTGCTCTATGTTCCATTGTATCACTCTACCTTCTACTTCCATCATTATCTCCTTCCTCTTACTTTGTCTTTTACCTTTCTAGAGCCCTTGAAGGAACTTCCTCTTCCAAGAACCTACTTGGAAATTTCAGGATAAGCTTCCCATCTAAAGATCTTTTACTTTATCACATCAATAAAATCCCTTTTGTCAGGTAAGATAACATATACTTAGGTTCCAGAGATTAGGATGCTGATATCTTTGTGGGATCATTATTCTGTCTACCTAAAAACCCACACAGAGTTTTGTTATGGAATAAAAAGCTCTACTTAGATAAGAAGCATTTTACAAGTTTGTTGTTTCAAATATCAGATTTACCTGTGGTAAAAAGGAATGATTTGATTATAAAAATCACAGGGATTTTAAATTGCCATTGGAAACTCAAATTGTATTTATATAGGATATATTAATTCAGGTAATTATTTTGAGCATCATAAAGCAAGCCTAAGTGTCTCTCTCAGAATCAAATCAGTGTTCTGTTTCTGTAATCTCACCTCTATTGCTGCTACCCTTTAAAAACAATAAGAACAAATCTCCTTTTAAACTTTAAGTATTATTTTATTGGCTACAGCTAAATTTATATTTTAATCAGGAATAATAGTAATGGTATTCCACATTTTGTGCTTATAGTATATTGCTATACTTAAAAAGGCATTAAAATATTCCAACTTAATATTTCTACTATAGTTATTTTACACATTACCTTAAAGTTCATTTGCTTTAATGCATGCATAATACCTCATAATCATTTGTGCAAATGCCACTTAATTGATTCAATTAAAATAATAAGCCAACTAATAAAATATATTTGCATCTTAAGATGGAATTTTCAATTTGTGATTATGCAATAGTAATATTTCCAGGTGAGGAGACAGAAATTTTTCATATAGTATTAAGTGATATGCCTGCATTATCTTTGTGCTCAGTAATCAGATAATTTTTAGAGCTGTATCTGATTTTTAAAATTTTAAATAATTTCTTATGTGATATGTTGTCATTCAAAAATCCTGTTGTAATTCATTTTGAAATCAAATGACATTATTATTAATAGTTATTCAGAGATAATCAACTAAAAAAATGGAGGCTTTGTGTACACATAACAAAAATACTCTGATTAGGGAAAGATTACCGTCGATTAACAAGTTTATACTCTGTTTAAAATCCTGCACTGCGTTCCCACAAAGTCGTAATTCTTCACAGTGGCCATACAATAAAATATTCTAGTATCTTTTAAAATTGCCATTTCCTGGGCATCAATCAGGTTATCCAGGTGGTGGGGGAGGCTCTTGGCATCACTGTTTTGTTAAAAACTCACCAAATAATTTTATGTGCAATCCAGGTTGAGAACGATTGCCATGAGGAAATAATGATGGATCACAACCTGCAACTGTACTGCTTAGTCGTAAGTAACTACACTTAGGAACTGAGTGTCTATCTGATTCATTGATAGTCATTCATAATACACAAATTCTCTATATAGATTATAAATAATTTACATATATTTATATATACACTGTGAATTCATATATATACACTGTAAAATTATAACCTATACTGAAAATGATTTTTTTTCCTCCCAGCAAATTGTTTTTAATTACCACAATTATAACCTAAACTGAAAATTATCTTTTTTCCTCCCAGCAAATTGTTTTTAATTACCACAATTCTTTAAATCATATTACATTTTTAGACCTAGATAAATGAAGTAAAATCCAAATCAATTAATGACAGAGAAATATTTCCTAAATTCATGTTCTCCATGATAATCACTATTGTCTAAATTTCTGTCAAATGATAAATGTCCTAAAAATAGAAACTTAAGAAGTTTTATGTATTTATTTATACATGCGGGAAAGGAGTTGCCATTGAATGGACAACCAGTATTATGTACCGAGAACTAATATAATTACTGTGGCAAATTAATTTTTTTAAATTAATTGGACATCCTTGTATATACTTGTTGGCCATTTCTATTTCCTTTTCTATGAGTTACCCAGTTACATCAACTACTCTTTTTCTATTCGAGTACTAATCATTTCTTTGTAGTTTTTTAAATTGTGATATTATTTTTGTGTATATTTTCTTCCAATGAGTCATCTGTATTTTGATATGTTTTATGTACTATTCCTGATAAATAAGTTTGAAAATTTTATATAGACCCAATCATCATTTATTTCCTTTTGTTTTTATGTCTTTTATTTTTTGTTTTTTTTTTTTTTATTATTTGTGTTAACTGGTATTTTATGTCTTGTTTAAACAGAGTCTTCCTTTACTTTCAAATTCATAAACATATTAGTTAGAATTTCTAATACTTTATGTTTTTTTAATGTTTAGATTTATAATTCATTTGAAAATTATTTCATGAATAGTGCAAAATATGAATTTCTTTTTATCATATGGAGTAAATTATACAAATGCAGTATGATTATGCAAATATGCATCTATTGGATGAATCACTTTCTCCATAGAGCTGAGATACCATATTTACTATAAACTCATATAACATGATTTTGTATATGAACATGAATCCACTCTATTGTTCTAGTATTTCTTCTTGTGCTGATACCGTATGATTTTAAGGAATGTTATATTTATAATACCTTGATCTATAGTAAGATAATTTCTACTGCCTGGTTCTTTTTTGGACAATCTTGGGTATTGAGTCTTTTCCATGTGGATTTAAGATTACCTGCTCAAGCTCTACCAAAAACTTGTTAGAATTTTGATTGGAGCTTAATTTGATTTACAAACTAATTATTGTCTTCTTTTGTATATTGTATCCTCCCTCATATGGATAAGGTATATCTCCCTATTTGTATAGATTATTTTTGGCCTATGAATAAATTTGTATTTGAATATGTATATATATCTAGCTCCCCTTTTTAAAGGACTATTCCTAGGATGTCTGTAATTTGTGGTTTTATAATGAAGCAATAGTATTATTATTTGGGGATTAGATTTTTTCAGTGAGGAACTAGTGAGTTTTATCTGCTCATTACTCTACATCAAACAGAATTGATCATGGATTGAGTTGTCATTCATGCCAGTCTTTAAAACCAACAAACTCTGTGAGGACTGATAGCACTAAAGTTTGAACTCTTGCCAGTTAAATCTCTTGTACTTCTAAATATTATGCCCAGAAATAATATTGCCTGAAAACATTGTCTGTACTTTTTTCCTTTCTCATATTTCTAACTCATCTATCTTTGTTGACTTGATGCATTTGCTAGAGACCTCAGAAAAATGTTAAATACTAAGGATTTTAGTATTTATTGTAATTTTTCCCTAACATCAATAGGCATGCTTTTACTATATAACTATTAAATAAAATTTTACTGAAAATTCCTTCTCTAGGCTAAGGAAATTATATTTCTTCAAATCGTTTTTAAAATTTAGAGTTTTGTAATAATAAAATGTATTTCATCTATTTTTAACAGGACAAACTAGTACTAGATATATGTATTAATAAAAAAAAACTAGTAGGTTTTTCAGAAATCTTTCTAAATAATTGCGATAGTAATAGCAGTTACAAATGTTTGTGTGCCTCATTTATGGCTGATACTATGGATTTTTTTATACACTTGTTTGGTGACAGTACAACAATATTTCAAAAGTCATTCTTAATTATAAAGTTTAAATATTATGCCCAAATTCACTCAGCTAAAAATTAGAGCTGGGCTTGAACTCAGGTCTGAGTAATTACATCTGACATTGTAATCTGAATAGAAGTTAGTTTCATAGGAAACACCAGAATGTACAGAATTATTATATGCATGGTATATTTAAGTGTCAGTATCATTGTTTAGGAAATGCTTCTAGAAACACCCATATGAGTTAGGACACTTCCGTATCAACTCAGTCTGGCCCTTGAGTTGCTTATTCTTGTACCTTAAATTTCAAAGAGGCATTGAAAGAAAATATGAAAATATTAAAATATTTCAGAGACAGAAACCATGTTTCAGTTTCTTTGTACAGTTTTAAAATGTGAAAATATTAAAATATTGTCTATTTTGATTTTTATATTTTAGCTTATTAAATGTGGAAATATTAAAATAAGTCAGAGACAGCAACTTGTCTCAGTTTCATTGCACTGTCCTTAATTACCTGTTGCCCAGCTGACACTCAGCCCACATTAGCAACTAAATAACTATACTTAATTTGGTTTGTATTATATAGTTCAACCGCTCAGTATCACCAGGGAAACAAAAACAAGTCATATTCATATGACAATGACTCAATACATGAGGAATTATACTCTTTGGGTTTTGCGTTGCAAGATACATTTATGAAAATACCTTGTTCTTAATTCTGAAGAGCTTACTCTTGTTTCACTTCATTGCATCTCCTAAAGTTTCCAGAACACTTCTGTATTACTTTACCCTTGAAGCTGGGACAGAATTGTGAATTGGATACATTTTCTTCAGGATTTGTGTTTCCTTGAGAATAAAATGTGTTGAGTGTGTTTTTCCAAGGCTACTTGACAGCTAGAAGTGAAAAATAGTGTAAATTCTGACCTTGAAGTTTTTCTATACACTTTCTTGCAACTGGATAAAGTACTTAGTTTATTCCGTATGGAGTTTTCCATCTTGTTTCATATAATACAGCCTCAGTCAAAATAGTCTGTACATTATATCGCATTACAATGTTAACGTGACATTTAGTATTATAAAATGGAACACACTGAAATTTCTTAAAAGCCAGTCTCAAAGTTTTATTGAATTTAAAAAGCTGTGTGTGGTACTTCTAAAATAAAAATAAATTATCCCATTTAATTATATAAATCATTTCTCTACTTAATTCCTAGACATTAACTGCATCAGGAATATTTTAAGCATACTGGAAAAGGGCTCAGATTTAAGTATATAAAAATATAGGAGGAATATATTTGTGGCCAATTTTAACCCTAACTCATGTGAATATACTTTCTAGACATTAACTATTGGAGGTACAGTATAAGATTTACTAAAAAAGATGTATGAAGCCCAAAAAAGATCATGTTAAAGAGATACCAAATTAACCAGAGGACTGGTTTGTAGAATATATGACATGCTAAGTTTTTTGTGAAATTACTTATAAAAATGAGATTAAGACAATGTTATATAGTGGTATAAATTGGCTAGCAAATAATAAGTCTCTTCTAAAATTTTTACTGAGTCAGGCCTCTTTCTAAGCTCTTTCTATATGATAACTCATTTAAGCATTCCAACAATCCTATGAAGAATTTACACACAGAATTCAGTTTTTCAGTAAGCAAATAGAGGCTTAATGAAATGAATGAAGTAGTAAGTAGTACACCTAGATTTTAAATCCAGGCAATCTGGTCCAAGAATCTGTAACCTGATATGCCAATGATTCAAAGTATAGTAATAATAAAATCAAATGACTATTAGAAAACAGTGCTTATTAATCTTCTATTCACTTTTTTGTAATGATCTAAGAAAAAATGAATTTAATACATACATATTCCCAAGAGTTTTGTTGGTCATTGGCTCACTATCTGTCTTAGACCCATACTGTTTGTAATATTCCATAGCAGAGAAATTGTTAGGAAGTTGTAGATCACATTTAACTCAGCTATTTCACTACTGAATTTATTACTTTTTAGTATTTACTATGAGCTAAACACTACTGTGAGTCATGAAGAAATATTAACTGATTTAATACTCACAAAACCTCTCATGTAGGTGAAACAATTAACCCTAATTTCACTCAAGAAGAAACTGAGATATTGTTATGTAATTTACAAAGGTCGCCCTCTAAAAATGGCAGAGGTGATATTTGACCGATGCAGTTGGGTTTCGCAGTCTATGATTTTAACCATTATTCCGTGCTGCCTCTCTCTGCAAACCATGATCTTCTATATGAAAATCCCTTGACACCAACATTTTTATTATTTTTCACCCCCAAGTATGACAGATAACCAACTGAAGATTCATTCATCATTCCATGAAAGTATGTTATCGGAAACTCCAATACTGTAATGTTTTTTAACCAGGTAGTCTATAACAAGCACTATCATTGCTCCATCTAGAAACCTTTTCTGTCTCTAGTCATTTGTGTGTGTCCTTTTTCTCCCTTGGAATCTCTGTGCTTTTGCCTATAGCCTGCACCTGCACTTCTCTTTGAGAATTGCCATTGTACTGCTGAAACTGTTTTGCCTAAATAAGCAGACATACAGAAGTACCCTTGAGATTTATACACCCCTGATGTGGGCCTTTTTCAATAACTGATTCACACAGAAGTAGGAAGCCCAGCACCAGTCCCTTGAAGAGGACAATCTCTAAGGTATAACTTAAAATCCAGAGTTCCCCTCAGGGAACAGGCTAAACTTCCCCACCTTAAGACTTTGCCTGAAATCATGTCCATGCTTGCTCTCTCCTTTTCCTGCTTTGCTTGACACATCTTT